ATTATTAATAGAATCAATTTTTTTAATTAATAAAATAAGGGGGTGTTTGAATTTGATTCTTAAAACTGTTTCTGCCCCTTTAGGAAGCAGAAACAGAAGTTAGAGTGTTCGGGTAAAAGTGCAAAAGTGATTCTGGTGCTCTAATTTACTCCTAGAATCAATTTTTTTTAGAAGATGCGGGAGATCAGTTTCTGAAAACTGATTCTGATTCTGCTTCCGCTTTAAAAAAAGCAGAAGAGGAATCACTGAATCAGTTCTAAACACGCCCTAAATCTATTACTCCCTTCGTTGTAACACCGTCCCCAAGTATATTTACTTTTGTGTAAATTATGTATTGAACCTTATGAAATGGTTAATGAATTTACGAGGTTGTAAATTTTTGTCAATTCTTTTGCGTGAATAGTAAATTGCACGTGGGGGCCACACCGGGAGCGGGGACCACCCGATATTCCCGAGACCGCATATTTTATTCATCTTGGTATAGATAATAGTTATATGGTGGTGGACATTCACTTTGGGCCATAAGAAAGGCATTGGGTTGACCGGTTGGTCAAACAAGGCCTAATTACCGGTTTTGGGTAATTTATCGGATAACAGTCCGAAACGAATTTCGGAGACTTCCAAATTTAAGTTGAGGAATGTATAATCATCCCAAGGGCCCATTATGATGGGAAGTAAGTGTTATATTTTATTTGACCCAATAAAATAAAATATAATTAAAACAGTCCGAGAAATACAACTTTCGGGACCGATTGTACACTTCGGGACATAATGGGAGGACCTCCCACATGAGTGGGGGCCACCCCACGTTTTTGAGAGCTCTTGGTTGACAAGGGGAGCTGCATAACATGGGTTGTGAGGTGTGTGTGGGCTGAGGGTGATGGTTGGGTGAGAGTTGACCCAAGGTGGACCTCCCCCCTCACTTATTTTCCAATTGAGCCAAAAAGAGACCCTCACCCCTTTCCTCACTCATACCTGCGGCCAGAGCATCCCCAAGAGAGAGAGAGGAACCTCAAACCACCATTTCTCCATAGCCAAGTGAGCTCAAGAAAGCAAGAAGCTTAAGGAAGAAGAAGGAGTTGTTAAAGTGGAAGAAAACCCTTGAAAGTAAAGGTAAGAAGCTCCATAACAACTTTCCTTCCATATTTTAATTCTCATATGACTTATATATCATATGGAGTTTCCTTAAGAGTGTTCTACACGTGAGAAGTGTGGATTCAGGGGTTGAAAGGTCGTTCTAAGTCCAAGAACGGACTTGGAGGCCAAAACGACCGGTTAGCCGGAAAATAACCTTTTAAAGGTTATTTGTATTGATATGGGTTTTGTGATGATAAAACCTTGTTAGGCACTTGTCAAAGGTGATTTAAAAGCTTTCGCAAAGGTTAAGGAGTTGCCGGAGTTATCGCCGGAGTTCGTCAAAGTTCACCGGAGTTTGGCCGGAGTTCAACCGAGAAGGGTAGAACTTCATCACGCTCATTTGAGGTGAGTGGACGGCTTAATGTCTTATAACTCTTGGGTTAATTATGAGATTACCTAAGTAAATGTTATATGTGTTCATAATGATGTTTAAAAGATGCTTAAACATGTGATTATCCAAAGTGATTAGATTTATATGTATGACCCATTGATATCATAAATGAAGTATGATATGAAAATGTTTATAAAAACATATATGATGTTTTAAAGGATAAAAGGGGCATAAAATGCTTGGTTATAACTTAATACATGTTGGGATTAAGTTTGACGCAAATCGGGTTTGAAATGGCGAGTCAACGAAAATGTTGACTTGGTTACCCAGGGGGTAACCGGCGCCGGTTATAGGCAAAACCGGCGCCGGTTATGGATCGGCATGGCCGGTTTTATTAAATTAATTAATAACCGGCGCCGGTTATGTCAAAACTGGCGCCGGTTTGGCACTGTTTTGCCTATATGTTGATTTTTAATGCATGAATTGCATGGATGATTATGCTTAGGCCTTAAGACTTGGTTTAGTCTTGATTATTGATTATGATATAGACCTTATCTAGAATGATATGTGGTAGATCATAAGTCGGGTGGAGTACCCAAGGATCGGGCGGTATCCTCAAAACTCGGTTATAGGGTGGAGTACCCAAGGATCGGGCGTGTATCCTCAAAACTCGGTTATAGGGTGGAGTACCCAAGGATCGGGCGGTATCCTCAAAACTCGGTTATAGGGTGGAGTACCCAAGGATCGGGCGGTTATCCTCAAAACTCGGTTATAGGGTGGAGTACCCAAGGATCGGGCGTGTATCCTCAAAACTCATAGATTATTATTTTATAATTTGGGACCCGGGCGGTGTCCTCATGTTAAGATGATTTGAACCAGGAGGAGTTCTATACACTCATAGGTATATGGGTGGGTTGGGGTTTAAGCCAAGGTTAACGGCTATATTATTTCCCAAATAAACAATGACCTAAGGGTCGGGTATTTCCAAGTGTATATATAATGATATATATTTCATAACTTGGGGGAAAGAACTATATGTATATGTATCACCCTATGTTTGGGTCTTATACTTGAAACGTTAGTTATTCTACATTTAGCCTGCTACTCGCTCGGTACTTGTACTGACCCCTTCGGGGGGCCCCACCATTTCAGGTTGAAGCTCAAGCTTGCTATTCTCACCTTGCTCGGTGAAGTGATCTAAAGGGAGACGTGGTTCGTGCTTCCTTTACCGTTTTTAAACTATAAACTATGCTCATGGATATTTTGTAATAAGTACATTTGTTTTGGGCCTGCGAGCCCACGTTTTGGCCATATGTGGCCCATGGTTGAACATTGAATATTTTCCGCGATTTGTTCAATCCAAATATGTGATGTTGTTATGTATGTTTACTCACTGAGTATGGTATGAACTATGAACAATGTTCATGGACGCCTTGTATGATTAAGTCATGTTGACTTGCGAGTGACGTCATTTAGTCATACGGCGGTTGTACACGCGCTCGGAGGCGGTCTCGGGCGTGACATTCGTCCCCCTTATATTATCCCGCTTAACCTTTTTGGAAAATTCACTAAAATTGTCTCATTTCATATTTGGTAATGTTTATGTGGGTTTAAATCATTCTTACTTTATTTATACTTTATCAATTAATATGAACTACACAAACCTATTTGTCTTAACAATCGTGTTATCATCTTCCGTCCCAATATAAGAGGGACGGAGGTAGTACCAGTTACTAGTAGAGAGATTGTTTTTTGGCAATTTTTTCTGGAAATAAAGACTAAAAAAGGAGTCCGGACTTCTCATTTACCAAAACTAGGACTGGTTTTTAATTTGACTAAAAAAGGACCGCACCAGATCTCCAAGCGACGCACCATCCCACGGTCTTCTCCGAGCTTCTCCCCTGCGCGCAACAACAGCACCGACCAAAGCTCCAAACATCAACGTCGGACACCTTTTCGCCGATACACGCCGCCACCCGCGCCTGCCTCCACCGCTCGCGTCTGCAACGTTCATCTTCTTCGTCTAGGTGCTTCAGCGGCTCAACAACGAAGATGTCTTGGTCGAAAATTCCATGGACGATGGGAGAAGCTAGCTTCGACAAGCCTTCATCCATGTTACTAGATCTGCGGCGGCTGTAGTTCGATTGTGACGGCGGCGGCCTTAATTCTCAGATTTGCGGCCGCCTTAATTCTCAAATTTGCGGCCGCCTGCAGCAGAGGAGGGGGAAATGGTGGGCGGAGGTGACAGACCTGGTTTCCTGGGGCATGGGATGAGGTCTGGACAAGGTCTTGGGCGATGGTGGGGTCGCGTAAGGTTTGTAAGGCCGATCCGGTGGCGGCCGGAGCATGAGCGGCGGCGGTCAGAGCATGGCCGGCGGTGGCCGGAGCATTGGGATGAGTGATGCAGGGGAGAGTGGGCTGGGTGATGCAGGGGGGTTAGGGTGACCAGGGGAGGGGCTGGGTGAGGCATTGGGATTGAGTGTGGTGCTCGCCGGAGGTGGGGGTTGCTGGCGGTGGCGGTGGGAGGTGGTGGTTTATGGGTAATTGGTGGTGGCTGTGGTCAGTGGTGGTTTATGGGTAATTGGACGAGTTGGTAATTGTAAGTGAATGGTTGGTAACTATAACTGGACGGGTTATGTAACTGTAACTATAATCGGCGGGTCGGGTAACTGTAACTGCACGGGTCAGGTAACTGTAACTGGACGGGTCGGGTAACTATAACTAGACGAGTCGTGTAACTGTAACTGGACGGGTCGGGTAACTGTAACTGGATGAGTCGGGTAACTGTAACTGTACGGGCGGGCATTGGTCACTAACCGGGCGAACGTTTGTCACTTGGCGGAATTTGGATTTTTCGTCACTAATGATTTTGTCACTGTATTTTTGGTGGTCATTGTGACTATACTGGAGCACTAATGGATGAGATTATATTAGTATAAGAGTATAATACTCTCTTAATCCTCTTTTTAGTCCCATTTTTGGAAAGTGAAAAAAAAGGTCTCTTTTTTGTTCATAGCTCTTTTTTTAGTATTATTTTAGACATAACCTCATTTTTCTAACCTATAATTGTATCTGTTTGTTAAGACCAACATACTTGAACTGGAATGAGATTCGAACTTGTAACATCCTCATTGAAAGTATCAAAATGATGTCATCAAACCACAAGGTACTTGACATGAGTAGAGATAGAATGAAAAGTAAGAATATACGCCATATATTAATCATATTTTGAGAAGAAACTAATTATAGTTTTATTTTTGTGTTTAGACCTAATTTTATTCTAATTGAGGGTTAACAGCCGTATTTGGAATTATTTCATTCATCAATCAGATCATCAGATGCGTGACAGTCATGCTTCTGTACCGGGGATGGTTTTCTTTTTTATTTTTTTCGGGATAGCTCACAGCTGTTAACCAGTTACCTCGTTTTACTACTGTAATTACAACAATGTCCTCCCACAATCCCGCGTACCTGCCCACCCTACCGCTATTAATCACAAACGTCGTCGGCAATTCCGTCAAATCGAAGATCCTGAAAATTGACCCCGCTTCCTCCCCCCTTCTTCTTTTATTAAAGCCCACCAATATGCCTCCTTCCCCCTTCAAAAACTACTTTCCCATTTCGTCTCTGCCTGTCTGATATTTTTGGCCCGCCGGAGTGAAGCTCTAATTCCGATCGTATCTATCACCGGAAGCTGTCTCAGGCTGTTCATTGCAAGTATCTGATAGCTCTTGAGCCTGTATAGCGAACGACAGAGTTTGTGCTTCATTGATTCAAGGAAGCTTCACTGTGTCCTTGTCATTGTCTTCAAGGTCAGGCAGCATCGCTATCCAAACCTGGTGTGGATTCAAATCACTCGATATTCTTACGTTTCCTGATACTTTCAATTCCTGCACTTTTGGGTGATGATTTAGGCTTGTTTTAGTTTTTCCGATTACGTTTATTGAATGGCTTCCGTTTTCTATGTCCGTTTTTACAGGGAGGAACTTGTGACTTGTGAGTGAATGATTAGGTTGTTTACTCTCCGATTTTCTTCCGACTGAAGAGGAGCTTAGAAATCCGAATCTGCATTTCATCGGGAGCTTTTAGGGCTGGAGAAATGCAAAAGGTGATTATATAACGGTAATTTCTCGATTTTGATCAATTATTTCTCTTCGGAACATTTGGTACGCCTGATGGTCTGGACTTTCTCTATCAGCCTAACTGCTCGCATACACATTAAAAATCGTGGGTAGTGTGAATAGGGCACGCCTCCGAGTTTAGGTTCTCTGTGATGGCGTCCCACCGTAATTCACGGTGTGGACTCGCGGGGGTATTGGGCTCAACGTGTGTGGGGCTACCCCATCCCATGCCCGCGAGGGCTCCCCTATCCCCAGTCCCCTAAACAAGGGGGATTGATTTTTTGTCCGTTGGATTACGTTGGGCCCTGGAATCGAGGGAATTTAAGACCCGTGATATTAATGGCAGTATAGTGAATAGGCCCCACGCGGGATTTTCTTGTCGTGTGAGATAAAAATAGTACACTATGCTCTTATTTTACTGTTGTGCAGAATAAGCCAAGCGAAAATTTCCATATGAATAATAATTTGACAAGACGGTTTGCTGTTTTAAAATAACTACGGTACAATAATTTCTGGGTACAGAATACTGTAGTTTCTTTCTCCACTGGACGTTTTTTTTGTAAGACGTGAGTTATATATTAGATTCACATACGGATTATACTCCGTATTAGATTCACACGTTAATTTACTAAGGAAAATTCTAGTCTACACGACTTATACACAAACCTTCACAATTGTTACACACAATTCCTTTAAAAAGCTATAAAACTTGATGTCAAATTATCTGTGTACACAGATAATGTGCACATTTTGTGTACATCTTGTGTACACCTGTTAAATACGAACCATTAAATATGACGTAGTACTTTCTATAAAAACTTACTCGTAATATTTTATAGGAGTATATAATAATTTGATTATATATATGTGTATGTAAGTAGAAAATGTTGTCACTGTTTAAAAATGAAAGAAATATGTAAATTCCACTAGAAATTGCAAACCTTGAATTGATTTAGAATTTAAGAGTAAAAGTATTATAATTGACATTTGTTCGAAGGAGACGTAAATAAACAGAAACACAAATTAGTTAAATATAAAGTGACAAAAAAATTAGTCAACAAAAATAAGAATTGACAAAGTTTAATGAGACAGAGGAAACATATTATTATCATGAAATTTTCATGATAACTATGGTACCCATTTACTTGCAATATTTCCTTTTTTAAAATAAAAAAGTAGAGTGAAAATTAAACTTTCACACGTAGTGTCCATTTTTTTACTTAGGGGTATATTATTGGCCCACTACTTTTAAATTAGCACCTATCCTTGGTTTTGTACTCTCCACTCTCTTTAGAATATATGGTCATATACTAAAGTGGAATTATATGAGACTTAAAAACCGGACCCGTGGGAAATATTTTAAGATGATCAATCTAATCATACATTGTGGGGCCAAACATGAAGCTTTTTTAATTATGCAATATATCATCACTATTCATCGGTCATAAAGCGCTTGGAGGAAATGATGGGATGATGGCCTGATGGGAGTTGCTAAATTGCGAGTGAGGGCTGTAACTTGGTTACTTGTTTAATTACTGAAACAATACTTATATAAAATTATTAGTAAAAATAAAGCTTTTAACTTTTCATTTTTCGTTCAGGTTGATATTTTTAGGAAAATATGTACTCCGTGTGTTTTACTCTATTTTTCAGGAATAATTATATTAGCATGTGCACACAATTAATTGCTAATTGCTAATATAATAACGAGTTATGTAGATAAAAATGATAATTATAAATATGTTGTCTCTAAATGAATAGTGTGAGGGCTTTTCATCTTATAAGGGAATGTTTGCAATTGCTTCAACTTTAAAAAAGTGATTTTTTAAAGTGATTTGGGGAAAAGTGATTAATAGTAAAAGTTGGTAGTGTTTGAGGAAAAAGTGATTCTCAAAAAGTAAAAGTTGGTAGTGTTTGGTAAAATAAGTACTTTTTATGTAATAGATTAAGTGAAAAGCAGTTTAAAGCACCCTTCCACCTGCTTCCAGCTTTTAGCTTTTAAGTGATTAATTTAAGCACAAGCTGTCATTTGAAAACACTCTTTTTAACTTTTTTTAAGCCAAAAGTTGAAAAGTGCTTTTTTTAATCAATTGCAAACACTCCTTAAGTCTGCTATAAGCAGTCTTAAAAAGGGAGACAATATTTGTCAAGTGAAATTTGTGGTGTTAGGAATGTGTCTCATCTCTCATCCCCCTAAAATCATGGGGGAAATGGACAGGAAATTTTGCTTATGTCAACTATTGTTGTTGGCATTGTCTTCTCTCTGTTTGTTGGGAGTTGCCGTTGCTCTATGACTCTCTTGCAGCTCTCATCCCCCTAAATACTTGACTTACTTCAATGGGACCCTCTTGAGTATTTACAGCACGCCCTTTGCAATGTACTGTTTTTGTTTATGCATGTTTTGGTTGCTTAGCAAAAGATTTATGGGGCACGATTTGTAGTACTAAATATGGGAGATTGGGAGTACTACATCATAACTCATATTTTGTTAATTTTGGCAGTACCACAATTGTTTCATAAATAATGGATTTGTTACTAATTGTATTTTAAATTTGAGATTTATTTTAATGGCATTAATTTTTTAGCGCATATAGTTTACTCATATACGGAGTAGTTAGTAAGTGCTTGGTCAACTAAAATCGAATAATAAATTGCTTGAGCTAGGCTCATATTAATATTCATTCCTTAAATTTGGCTTTCATTCAAATTCTGAACTTGTTAACCTCCTTAGGTGGTTGTTCGTTGTCACTCACATTGGGGTGGTTGTCTTGGTTTGGTTTCATTGACATCGTTGTTTGCTGTATTTGTTGATATTTGGTTTTGTGTCACTGGCAATCTTGCTAGTTTGATATCAAATACTACGTATATCATTTAGGGAGTGTTTGCGATTGCTTGTGCTTTCTAAAAGTGATTTTTTTAAGAGATTATTGGAAAAGTGATTTATAGTAAAAATAGGTAGTGTTTGAGAATAGAAGTGATTTTTATTAAAAGGTAACAGTTGGAGTGTTTGATAAAAAAAGTGATTTTGATGTTATATTTTGCTATAGTACGAAAATGTCCTTCATTCCTTCAAGCTCATGTCTCGCCCCCCTAGAAACCAATCCATCTGTTCCGCGAGGCCAAGCGACTGGATTAAGCGATTGGATTAAAGATTCGATTACCAGCTGAGTCAAGCTTCTGTCATTGTTGCTATATAATGACTGCAAAAATCCTGCAATTCGGATATTTGTTCAACGTCAAGATTCACCACTTCATTTCGTCCCATGGCAGATCCCTATAGCGGAGATCCATATATAATCCCTAATTTTCTTGCCCCTGTTGAGAAATCGATGGATTTTAAAAGAAAGAGCTTAAAACATGTGCCAATTGAAAATGAAGAACAGCTCCGTATATGCTTGCAGAGAGAGGTCATGAACGATCTTGATACAGGGAACATGGATAAGGCTACATCGGACTTTTGTTGATAAAATTGGTCATAATAACTAACCCTAAAGTTTGTGTTATTTACAAAAATACCTAGAAGCAGATAGAAGCAGCCAACTACCAGCTTCCAGCTTTTGGCTTAAAAGTGTTTTTTTTAAGTAGAAGTTGGTGTTTGAAAACACTAATTTCAACTTTTTTTAAGCCAAAAGTTGAAAAGTGCTTTTTTTAATCTTTCGCAAACACTGCCTTAATGTGGTTCTAACTGCTGAGGGGTGCGCATATCTAGGATTCACTCTCCTTACTTGCTAGAGCCCCCCCCCCCCGAGTTGGCTGAGTACAATGTTTTAAACTTTTAACAAGACAACAGCAATGAGGAGCTTGTAAAAAAAAACAGCAATGAGGAGGGTGTCTGTCTTCTAAGTCAGTTCTAACTAAGTTTCCATCCTAATACCGTCATATACTCCGTATAAGTGTATAAAATCTAGGAAAAAGGAATAAGTTTCTTATTGATTTTTACATTAATTTCCACTTACCAGCTACCATTATGTCTATTATTATTTGTATAGTCTTTTTGGTAACACTCATATTGGCTGAATCTATGGAACCGTGAAAAGAATGTATGAAAAATGGATAAAATGCTCCTCTCAAGTAATAATTTCAGCAATTTCAACCAGAGTGGCGTGGGAAATCATGAGTTACTCTCCTTAATTCCAAACCTTGCTTATTTTGGTAAAAAATGACTTGTAAAGACTAAGCTGAAGGTACCAAATGGGTTGTGTAAAAACATTTTCTCACTGTACACGAAAGAGCAAGTTTTGAAGGAGGGTCTTGTAAGTTATTTTTTTTGAAGGAGGGTCTTGTAAGTTATTTTTTTTTTTGAAGGAGGGTCTTGTAAATTGTAACGTCTAGAAATTTGATTGTTGCTGAATGCTGAGGATCTATTTTGTGATACTTTTTCATTATTCAATGCCTACGGCCTCATTTGTGTTGGAGAATAACTTGTTTTGGAAAATGTTTTCTATCAGAACTCTTTTCTGAGAAAAATGTTTAGTAGAGAAAATATTTACCTTGGAACAATTTTCCCTAGAAAATTTGTTCTATGCACTTATAATTCTCCGTATAATCTTCAACTCTTAACAATAGAAACAGGATTTTTTCACAATATACATCAAATAAAAGGAAGACAATTCCATGAAAGTATTAAAGTATTTAATGCGGTGCAAACCACAGAAAAATATTTTGCCGCAAACATATTTTTTGACATAAAAATAACTAATCATCTTTTTCCGGAGTATATCTTTGCAAACAAGCTGATACTACGTGTAGCATATTAAGGAGCCTAAAATCAATAGTTTACTGGTTCTCGAGTCTAGAATAATGAGCCCAAATTCAAAAGTTCACCCTCGAACATAGAAAAACCTGAGAACATTTTTAATAACAAAAGTATTTTTCTTCAATCAAACATAGCCGTCCTCAATGTGTTGCTTTTTTAAGTAAGGCATGTATTTACACGATCGCTTACGTAATAAGATACTAGTACTAATTTATGCTATTTGTTTAATCTTGAACTTTAGACTTTAAAACGTGCCGTTAAAATGTATTTAAGACAATTTGCTTTCCGCTTTTTCTTGTACTCTCCCTATATGTTCACATTCACTCTTCTCCATCTCTTTACTCCCACTTTTCAAACTTTAATATGAAAGGAATTGAGAAACGAAAATAGTGATTGGACTCAACCCAGCAAATAAAGCATGCTGCTTTTCTCTTTTTGCCAAACATGCTATGATGATAATTTAGATAGTAGTCAGCAACTTTACTTTAACTGTTCCTGGTCTTTGAAATCTCGTGAATTTGGATCAGATGGACTCTCACCCTGCTGACCAGCGCATTGTTACTGCAAGCAAGAATAGATTGGGACGCACTTTAGCTAATGTTATGAGGATTCGAGCTATGCCTGGTGATTCCAATGGAAATCAACGGTCCAAGAAGCCCCACCATGAAAAAGTAAAGAGCGATACGGCGATAAAGAAAGACTTTCTGAAGAAGCTGCAGTTTAACACCTTTGACGAAGAAGGGGATGGAAATTTGAGGGAAAAAATATCAATAGAAGCTTTTGTCGCCAAACTATTCGCGAGTATATCGGCTATAAAAGCAGCATACGCACAGTTGCAATATGCTCAGTCTCCTTATAACCCAGATGGTATTCAAGCAGCAGATCAAATGGTGGTCTCTGAGTTGAAAAGTTTGTCCGAACTGAAACAATGCTACTTGAAGAAGCAGATTGAGGATCCATCACCTGAGAGTTGTTTGGCTTTGGCTGAAATCAAGGAGCAGAATTGCACTCTCAGAATCTATGAGATTAATGGGAAAAAGCTCGATTCTCAGGTAAGGCTCAAGGATTCCGAAATCACATTCTTGCGGGAAAAATTGGATGAAGCCAAACAAGAGAATAAATTGATGGAGAAGAAATTGAATTCGAGTGGGCAGTTATCCTTTCCCTCCGAAAATCTCCACTTCTCACAATTGAATCTCAGCCATTTCATCAGTGTTCTGAGGCAGACAACAAAATCAATTCGGAGCTTTGTCAGGCTGCTTGTTGGGGAGATGGAATTGGCAGGGTGGGATTTAGATGTTGCAGCCAGTGCAATTGTGCCTGGTCTAACTTTCTGGCAAGCAAATCACAAATGTTATGCATTCGAGTCCTTCGTATGCAGAGAGATTTTTGATGGTTTCAATTATCCCAACTTCTCCATTAAGCCCGAGGGTGAAAAGGGACCGAAACACTTCTTCGACAAATTTGAGGAGTTTAGACCGGTAAAGGCAGCCGATTACCTGAGGTGGAAGCCAGACTCTGCATTCGCAAGATTTTGCTGTAAGAAGTACTTGCGGCTTATCAATAAGAGAATGGAACAGTCTCTGTTTGGCAATTCAGATCAGAGGAAAATGGTGAAAAATGGCGAGTTCCCGGAGACTTCATTCTTTTCGACTTTTATCGAAATGGCGAAGCGCGTCTGGCTTTTGCATTGCCTTGCGTTTTCGTTTGATCCAGAGGCTACGATCTTTCAGGTGAGCAGAGGAAGCCGGTTTTCTGAAGTGTACATGGAAAGCCTGAGCGACGAGGCGTTCTGGTCAGCGGACCGGAGACAGGAAACCGAACCGGTGGTGGCTTTCACGGTGGTTCCTGGGTTCATGGTGGGTAAGACTGTGGTTCAATCTCAAGTGTACATGCGTTGACCTGCGAACCAGATTTAGTCGTCTCAAGTGGGACCCCACTGATCTGTCAAGCACTCACATGATATGTTCATGTAAAAAATTGAGAACCTGGTCATTGCCTGTTCTGTGTGTCGACAGAGACTGTATTCTATGGGAACAAAACAATGCGTCTCGGTATTACTATTATATCAGTATTAGTTTTGATATTTTCTTGAGCCATTCCTCCCCACATGTTTTTTTTGTAATGTTAGGTAAGTGGTGTCGGGAATCTCTGCTGTATATTGTATGATATGATGATTAAGACGATGACTTTTATAAAAAAAATGAACGTTTCGGATGCAATTTTGTATCGTAAGGTCAAGAGCATCCCAAATTCGCACAGCGAAAGAGACCTTTCCCATGGTACAATTGTACACAACTCAATAATTCATGTAGCAGTTTAAGAGCCCGTTTGGAGACCTCCTTTTTCGGCTTATCAGGCTTATCAGCCAGCTTTTTCACCAAATACGTAACTTTTACATTTGTGTGCTGAACTGTGTAATAAGCAGAAAAAGTAAGGTTGGAGTTACTTTTCTGGCTGTATTGGCTGAAGTTACTGTAGAGGACTATTTTAGCTATTTTTACATGTAATTTTTTCTATAATTTATTAATAAAATATATTTTTAAAATATTTTTTTCTTGAATTAGCAGAATCAGCCAAAACAGCCAATTCAGCCAGAATTTCATAAATTTCAGCAGAATCAGCCAAAACAGTCGATTTTCGTGCTACCAAACGGGCTCTAAATCGTTCTTTGATTTGGGTAATCAAGATTAAATTAGGTGAAATTGATAAAAATGAATTCTACATCAATAATGTTGTCGGGTCTACATCATAATATAGAGATGGACTAGGATGGTTTGGCACTTGGGCCTGACCCGTTACTGTATAGGCATGACTTGGCCCGGCCCAGGGCACGGACCGGTGGCATAAGCGGCGGGCTTCAAGTTTGATAAAATCTTAATCACATAATTTTTATTTTGTTAAACTTGATGCTCATGGAACTTGATAAATTTTTAAAAGACGGAGTTCATTTTGGTAATTCAGTTGGAAGACACATTTCTCTCTTTAACGGGCACGTTCGGCGTCCAAAAAGAATTTGTTGATTACGCCATGTGGTGTTAAGCTTTGTGTTTGCACCGTCGAATCAGAATCAATGGTCATGAAATGGCGAAAATTATAAGGTACAGCCGGCTGTATCATGTCCATGGTACAGCCGACATTTTTGTAATTTGTTTCAACTTTGAGGTTAGAAGTTAGATTGAGTGGTTGTATTCCGTCTTCCATTTTTCTCGCTTAACGCATGCACTCGCCACTCGGTCTCCAGGTTCGCTAGTCTTTTTCAATTCGGAATTTGTGTCCCAGACTTTGAATCAATCGTTTCCACTTCTCTGTTTTCGTTTTTTTAATTGTTTGTTCCTCTTTTTTATGGTTTGTAATCCTTTCTTTTTACTTTCAAAAATAAATAAAAAACTTTCGTTTTTTTATTTTTTCTTTAACAACCTTTCATTTTAATTTTATATTCAATTATCATGAAAATTTATAATATATCCAATCAAACGTTTAACTTAGTTTTTTTAAAGTTTTTTGTACTATGGAGTATAAGATATTTTAGGTATTAAGTTTTTATTTTTCTATTTATAATTTAAGATGACCATTTATTAGTTTATTGAATATTGTGTGTTAATTTCTAAGTTCTAACATAAGTTTTATGTTATACTAACATGTGTATAGTGTAATTTACGTATGTTCATCGAATACTGGTTTTATGCTCATTTTAAAATGTCATATTAATGCTTACTTCAAAAGTAACACATTAGATTTGTATAAGAGGTATAGATTGTAACATGGGAGTAGAGATCATGATATTTAATTAATCGCATTTTGAAAATGTATTAATTCTCAACTCACAATGTCGGATACTTCATAGAGGAGGTTTGATGGTCAATGAAAATGTCTTGATACTCAACTAACAAAGCTTGTGATTTTCATATCATTGCTCGTTTGGTAAGTTATATATATATGTGTGTGTGTGTGTGTGTGTGTGTCTGTGTTCAGATCATTTGGTATTGATGTTATTCTCATATTAAATTGTTATATCAATGCATATTTCAAAAGTAACATACTACCTCCGTTCTGAAATAAATGCGACATATGGAAATTTACACTATTCACATGTTCTACTTTGACTACGTTTTATTTATTAATGTATGAATATATTTTTATGAAAAAAAAATTGTTAAATTTGTCTCATTGTAAATTTTCAATATCTATTTTTTTTTAATTTTTTTACTAATATAAATTTATATATTTTAATGGTCAAAGTTGTGTCTCGGCAAGTGTGAAATGTTGACCGTTGCATTTATTTAAGAACGGAGGAAGTATAATATTAGATTCAAGTAGGAGTTAATATAGAACGAGAGCACAGACCATGATATTCAATTGCATGTTTTTAATACTCAATAGAGGAGATTTGATGCTCAATGAAAACGTCTTGATGCTCGCTCAACTAAAAAAAAACTTATGATTGTCATACTAATGCTCATTTTATAATTTACGAATGCTCAATCGGTACTTAATTGCACGATTCTAATACTCAATAGAGGAGGTTAAATGCTCAATGAAAAATGTCTTGATGATCAACTAATATAGTTTATTATTTTCATATTAATGCTTATTTTGTAAGCTACATATGCTCAATCGATACTGATGTTATGCTCATTTTTAAAATGTCATATAAATGCATATTTCAAAAGTATCATATTACATTAGATTCACATATTGAACTTCATAGGGATTGATTGTAGATATAATTTAACGAGTTTCTATAAAAGAAAAAATATAAAAAGAAAATGAATTAAAAGATATGAAGCAAAGATTATGATGCTCAATATTAGACTCCTAATACTCAATATAATAGGTCTAGTGCTAATTAAAAGTTCATTAATGCTAATTTAAGAGAAAGTGTTATTTTCGTATCATTATAAGGGAAGTTTGATGATCAATGAAAATGTCGTGACGTCCAACTGACAAACCTTATGATTTTCATATCAATGTTCATTTTGTAATTTACATATGCTCAATTGGTACTCATGTTATACTCATTTTTAAAATGTCATAACAATGCATATTTCAAAAGTACTATATTACATTAGATTCGCATATTGAAATTCATAGGAATTGATTATAGATATAATTTAATGAATTTTTATAAAAGAAAAAATAATAACCAGAAAGTGAATTACCTATATGAAGTTGATATCACAATACTCATTTATTGACTTTCAATGCTCACTAGAATACGTTTGATGCTCAATAAAAGTGTATTAATGCTCATCTAACGAAAATTGCGATTTTCATTGAAATTACGAAAATGTCACCGTTTTTTTAGTTTTGATATCAGCTTTCTTATAATAACACGGTACTCATTATTAGACGACTAATACTCATTAAAATTGGACTATTGCTCATTAACAGTACACTAATGCTCATTTAGCAGAAACACGATTTTTACATTAATTACAAAAACGCCACCGAATTGTTTTGCTATTTTTCCCTTGGGCCAGTTTCTGGGCCGGCTGTACGGTGCTCACCGTACAGCCGGCTGTACCATATACGTACCCATGAAATGTAACTCGTGTGATTCCACATGTAATTTCAAGTTAATCAAAATGTAAATTGTACTCATCACACGTAACTCGTTGAAACGTAAACTGCTTTTATTGAAATGTAACTTGGAGAACAAATTAGATGTAATTTGGGATATGTAACTTTAGACTATTGAAATGTAAAACGTTTTTACAGAGATGTAACTCCATATATATATATATATATATATATATATATATATATATATATATATATAGAGAGAGAGAGAGAGAGAGAGAGAGAGAGAGAGAGAGAGAGGAATGATCTTGTCCAGCAGCCCCCGGTCCGAACAGTGTCTGAACATGGCCATTTGGGGCACTTCCCGTTGGAATTTTTTGATGAAATGTTTTGAGCATGTTCTTCATCAAGTCTAGTTTGTTCATACCAAATTTCAGCTAAAAGTTCGTTCGGGAAGGCATTCAAATCATTTTTTGAAGTTGACTGCGTTTTTATATGTATATTTTGACGCAGTCAACTTCAAAAAATGATTTGAATGCCTTCCCGAACGAATTTTGAGCTGAAATTTGGTATGGACAAACTAGACTTGATGAGGAACATGCTCAAAACAATTCATCAAACAATTTCACCGGGAAGTGCCCTAAATGTCCATGTTCGGACACTGTTCGGACCGGGGGCTGCTGGACAGGATCATTTCTCTATATTCTGTGTGTGTGTGTGTGTGTGAATATTTATATATTCATTTAAATACATCGGGGCATGGTTTTGAGTTGCGACTGTGTGCATCAGCTGGGGGTTGTGGTGGTGTGATATGGTAATTGCAGGAGCTGCACAGGGGTTGTGGTTATGGGATGGTGTTGGGCAACAATTCTACAGGTTAAGGAAGGGTGAGAGGCTGGGACTGAGGTTGTGAACGTCATCGTTGGCCGGCCAGATGGTGATGGCAGGTGGCTGGGGGAGGGAGAGTGTTGTTGGGGAGGGGGCGGCCGTGATACTGCGTCGTTTTGCAACTGGGCGCACCATCCTCATGGTGCGCCGGTTGCACGATATATACGTCGTACCCTTCACAAAAAAAACTTAAGTTTGCAGACAAAGAAGGAAGCGGACAAAGAAGGAAGCGAAGGTGCAGCGGACAGAGAAGGAAGCAGCATCCATGGCTGTCTGCCACTAGGGGTGTGCACGGGTCGGGTTCGGGCGGGTCGGGTTTGCGTACCCCAAACTCGTTCGGGTTTTTTAATTTAAATACTAGGCCCGACCCTTTGATATTTCAAATCGGGTATTTAGGATATTTTTAAGTCGGATATTATCGAATATCTGGTCGGGTTTTGGATATCTCGGTTATATTAAAAAAAATTATAATTGGATAATTAAAGTGTTTAAATGCCACTTTGACAAAAATTGTACACACTAGTGCACTAAACTTCCAAATTACACAAATAATTGAACACAAGTATTAATTTAACATATTCAAAGTACACACTACATAATTTAATATATTTCGGATATTTTGGTTATATCAAAATACATTATAATTGGATAGTTAAAGTGTTGGAATGTCACTTTAACAAAAATTGTACACACTAGTTCACTACACATTCAATTTACACAAATAATCTAATACAAATTGCACAAATAATTACACAAATAATTGAACGCAAGTATTGATTTAAATATTCAAAGTACACACTAACATATATTTCGGATATTCGGGCGGATCGGGTTGGGCTTTTACAAACCCTACCCGCCACCCGGTCTAGGCCCAATACTAATCGGATTTTCGGTTTCGGGTTTTTCGGGTCGGATATCCACTTCGGTTCGGATAATATCCGAAAAAAATATCGGGTTTTTCGGGTCGGATCGGGTTTTGCTCAGCCCTATCTGCCTCAGAGCTTGATCACCACCGATGGAGACCCCTATCCCCTATAGGATTGCGACCTGCGATGCCTGGAACTTGTTCCTCCTCCTTTCTTTTTTCTTGTTAATTAATGAATCAAACCTTACTGTTACAGAAGTTACATTACTTACATCTCCTTGTTCCCGAGTTACATTTGAATAGGCTTAAGTTACATTCATAAATTACATCAGATTTTTTTCCAAGTTACATTTGAATCAAATCAGTTTACATTTCAATGAGTTACATTTGAATGAGTGTAATTTACATCTTGATAAACTTGAAGTTACATGTGGATTCACAGGAGTTACATTCCATATAGGCATGGGATCATGGTGCTCCCTACGCTCCGGTTGCACGACTGTGAAATGGAGTTTGAATGAATCACTGTGAATCATGAGATCCGATCGACTCACTCAGTCCTATCCGTTTGATTTCGATTGGACAAGTCTGGTTCCGACAAAAGCCACTCCTTTTTACTTTATTTTATTCCAAAGTGTCATATTGATTATTGATGCTGTGATGCATCGTTGAAAAGGCTTTAGATCGGTCCACATGAATGGGTGTTTCTACTAGGATATTTCCGCACCGAGGTGATCACATAATCTTTCTAGTTTATCAAGTAGTTCCGGTAATTTTCTAGATGATCCCACTGGAACAAACTAAAAGATAAGGTAAGTTTAGATGTTATTTAAATGTTACTATCTTTGTCTCACTACGTTTAGGACAATTATGCGTGACTGACGATTAAGCAAATAGATCTATGTTCGAACTCAAATTCTTTTTAAAAAAATAAATAACATATTTAGAAACTACATTTAAAACTTTACGAAGTCGCAAAAACCAAAATCAAATTTGATAAAAACTTGATATATAAAGTAAAAGATTAAGAGTGATTTTTGTTGACCAAGTAAATAGTGTCTGAGACAATCTTAGCGGGACGGAAGGAGTATATCTCAATTGTACGATTTATTGTATAAAAATCAATTCATGTTCTAAAACTCTTCTTCTGGTGTCCGTTTTGAAATATTAGGGGATCATACATACATTCTAAAACAAGTGTGTATTTAAATCAATTTTACTTTATTCTTATTTTATCAATTTAAGATTAACCTCATAAATCCAAATTCCTTAATAACCATGTCACCCTCCACGTAGTAGATTTCAATCATATTATAATCTGTGTACACTTTCAAATCATATTATATAGCACTGAGAGGGCCAATAATATTTGGCACTCATAAAAAAGGGTGCGACAGTGCCAAACATTTATTTTTTTGTATAAAATATTTTTTCGGGCGCCATTTTGTATCTTTACAGTGGCAGCGGCCGAGTCTGCAGCAACGAAGGCCGAATATGCAGGCGGGAGCGGCCAGATCTGCAGCAGTGGCGGCCAAGTCTGCACTGACAGGTGCCAGATATACTATTTTCATCCTTGTAATATATACTCCCCCAATCCCTTAATAAACTTCCAACTTTCCTTTTTCGTCTGTCTCAATTAAAATTTTCATTTTCCCTCTTTGGTAAAGAATTTGTGGTTCACAACATTTCTTACACATTTCTCTCTCCCCTGCACAACTATCTACCACACAATACTCACTATTTTAAGTTGTGTGTCCAACCCATTTGAAAGTTTTTTTTTGAAAGGAAAACACTTATATTAGAATCAAACGAGTCATTACATCAATCAAGATCCCATACCAACAACTCCCACTAGATCCACAATACCCAAAGCTCATTGGCCCTCTCACGTCATGCCCAGACATAGAATAGTCCACCCCAAAAGGAGTGAGACTAATCGCTGAAACGGTGAGAGCTAAGAGGCTATTAGCGACTGAAACAGCCCCATTGCCTCCATTTAGAAAACTAACCACTGAAACAAACAATAACCTACCCCCTTATTCTTTATCCTAAAATCAATAAAATTGAAAAAGTAAAACAAATTGGACTGAAAATAAACAGAAACAACGAATAGAACATTTTCCCAAACCCTAATCGCATGGCTCCTCCATGGCGGCGGTTCAAGAGGGGGACGAGCCATTAACACTTCGTCTTCGTTCTCCAACCTTTGAATCTGGACTACTCTGCGCCACATCAGCCACCTCTCCATCGCACGCTGATCTCCACCCGGATCAAACACAATTGGTGCAACTTCCATCTCAATAAACAAGAGAGCCAGAATAGCTAAACCAAGAATTTGGGAATCAAGCCTCGCACCCCACGTAGCGTGTTGTCGTTGCCCACGCACCCTGCTTAAACCATACCCGGCATCCAATCTGCTAGATCCGTCACACCGGAAATTGACATACTATACATAAGCACCAAGCCCACAAGCAAAATTCCCGTACCAAAACTCCACTTCAACCGCAAAAGCTAGCAAAATCGGGACTCCAAAGCACCGAAAATCGGCGCCGCCCGCTCAAAACGACCTAGACCAGGCTAGGAGAAGAAAACGCCGCCCATAAACAACTTATTCCTAAATGTTTTATGCTTGATTTGTCTTTAGATGTAGACTTCAATAAGCTTTAAGCTTTAATTCCTGGATTATTTCATACCCATTTGAAAGTTTTATTAGGAACGGAGGTAGTAATATTTTCTTTTTAGTCTACCTCTAAATTTAAGACCACTTCACTTTGAAAAACAATTGTTGTCCATGGTAAAAACATCCTAGAAACTTTTAAATTTATTCTTTTATACGAAGTAATTTTTTTGAGACTGAGTAGCGTTGGACTCGGTGCGGGCCACCTGACCCAATAACCGCCCCGACCCGGCACTGTTTGGGCCCGACCCGGACCGGGAACCGGGTACCGGTTTCGGGTCTAGGCCTGGTTTAAGGATGAAACCAGGGCCGGTTCCGGGTATGCTAAAATGTGAATTGAGTCCGGTTCGGGCCTGTTTTTTTTTTTCTTTTTTCTTTTTTTGGTTTGGTTTGGGTTTTAATGGGCTGGGCTGGGTGTTTCCGATGGGTTTGGGGGATGGGGGGTAGGGGATGAAATAATTAAGCAAAAAAAAAATAGAACCGGACCCGACCCGGACCGGCCCTAGGCCTGGCCCGGGCTCGAACCGCCCCGAGTCCATGACTAAGTATGGGAGTTAAAACTAGCGGTGTATGGGGGTGTTTGGAACTTATTCTGCTTCTGCTTCTTTTTAAAAACAGAAGCAGAATCAGAATCGGTTTCCAGAAGCTGGTCACTCCCAGCTTCTAAAAAATTGATTCTAGGAGTAAATTTAAGTATCTGAATCACTTCTGCACTTTCACCCAAACACTCCAACTTTCATCCAAACACCCCCTATATTTCGATTTACCGTTTAGTTTTGTTCAAGTTCTGTTCGGTTTTTGTTTGACTATAAATGTACAAAATAAATACCCAATGTATTTCGATTTTGTTTGATTTGGTTTACCAAATCATAAGCACTTCGGTTTGGGTTGGAATAAAACCAATCCATTTGACCTTAAAAATAAAACCAACCCATTTGAAATAAGTCAAATTACTACTTAACCCATAATTATTTACCCGTCTTAAGTTTACCCGGACCCATTATTATTTTTAATGAACGGATCAGGTATGACACATATGATTCCGACCTGTTAAGGATCCGGACCCGTTTAAATTTTTCATTAGTATATAAACACATACATACTAACGTTGTCATGCATAAAGTGATTAATTATAATACTTCAAATAAAAAGTACATACTAATACACACACATACTAATACATAAAGATATACTACATAAAGATATTAGTTCTTTCAAAAAAAAAGTTATCAGTTGTAATTCTTTATTAAAAAGATACACACTAATACATAAGGTACCAATAACATCACTAAATTAGACATTATAACGGGAATCATGGTTTCATCATCAAACAAGATAGAATTTCCTTCAAGTAAATCATATCTTTCACTTGTTAAATTTATTGCGTTTGATTAGACTATTAGAGAAGATTACTGGAAGCGTTAATTCGTTAAAACTATTCAACAATAAGATACCTTATTACTGACACATGATTTATTTTGTGGGTAATTTTAAATAAAAAAACCACATAGACAACCAAACTTAAAATTGATTCCCGCCAGCGTAAAAAAGATTGCCGCCATCGCTAAAAACAGAGATAAATTTTCCACTTAAAATTAAATGTAATAAAAATGTTTTACCACACATAACACGTGTTTCTAATTAAAGCTGTTGTGGTTTACTAATTGCCTACACTTATTTAAATTAGGCAAAATTCACAAAAATAATCCATACTTTTATGGATTCTACAATAATAATCCATACTTAGAGTGTCTATAAATATAATCCGTACTAGTAATAGTGCCCATAAGAATAAATTAAAATTAATTCAAACTAATGCTCATTTAATATTCTCAACCCCTATATTCACTTTCTCATTCATCACTCTTCGTCTCGGGGTAGAGAAAAGCGGGAGTAAGTGTTGGAAGTATTAAACGGAGATTAATTTGAATTCAACCAATTTATTCTTATGAACACTATTGCTAGTTTGGATTATTTTTGTGTACATTTTCAGTAGGGATTATTATTGTAGAATCCCTAAAAATTCGGATTATTCTTGTGAATTTCGCCTTTAAATTATGTGTACTAAATACCCACACGTAGTATGTGCAACTATTTTATGTGTGGGCAAATGACCCAATTTCTGGTAGTTACCTACACATACGGATAATTTTTAATATTGCCGTTCTATCTCTCTGCAACCATGTACATTGAAAAAAGTGTTAGTGGCCATTTGGTGGATGAAAAAATGGGCTTATAAGCCTGAATATGAAAAAGAGAATCACCAAACACCCTTCAAACACCCTTTAAATGGACTGATATGACTCTTCAAACACCCTTTAAATGGACTGATATGACTGATTTTTATTAGGGAAAATGGAAACTAATAATCCAACCTTTTAGCGGTCTTCTTTCAATAATCCCACCTTTTGATTATTCATGAATAATCCAACCTTTGCACCACATCTTCATTTGTTGGTCCCTGGTCGGTTAATGACTTGCTATTCCAAGTTATTTTCTTATCTTTGCAAAATATTATCTTTGTGAAAGATGAGATTTATGGTATAATGATTTGCAAAGACAAGAAAATAGCTTGAAATAGCAGGTCATCAACCGGTCAGGGACCAGTGAATGAAGATGAGGTGCAAAGGTTGGATTATTCATGAATAATCAAAAAGTGGGATTATTGAAAGAAGACCGCTAAAAGGTTGGATTATTAGTTTCCATTTTTCCTTTTTTATTATCAACAGAAAGAGTAACCCAACCCTTGTTTTTTGGCTGATTTTTATTATTATACCATTAACCTATTAAAAGACATATACGGAGTATATTATTAACTCTCTTCTACGCATAGACAAGTTGTCATCTTCTGAGTAGCGTACACTTTTTCTTGGACAACTTTTTGTTGAGAATTGGATATTAGAGCGCATCATTATTGTTAAATAACTAAAGCACTTAATAATTGCCGTAACATTTTTTATATTAAACAAAGTCTGTTCTTAATTGGGCACTACTTGCATACTCCATCATCCATTATTTATTTATTTATGGCGGATATAATACTACCACAAACTTAAAAGTCAAAAATAAGACTCATTTAAAATCTGGACAAAAATAAGACTAATAATTAATGAATAGGCAGAAACGCCCTCACATCTATCTAACAAATTCTCTCACAAATCTTCCGATCGTCTCTTTTCCTTCAGCATCGCAGCATCCATCACCGCATTAGGACGACCAATGAAGCTCTGCCGTCTCCGATGAAGCACCTCCAACGCCGCAGCACCTCCATCGTCCAGGCGCACCATCTCCGTGTTCAACTTCTTCATTTTGCTCTTCTTCTCGAACCAATTGGACTTCGTCCGATTTGGGTGATGAGGGACGAACGACCATTGAGATGGATATCAGACGGCGGCTAAGGTTTGGTGACTACGTGGCAGATGGTGGCAGTGGTAGCGAGGCAACGACGCTGTTGGATCTATTCATGGCGTGCGGCTAGGGTTCAGAGATCTGGCTGCTGGATGTGGCGGCGGATCTGGCCGGTGCAAGTGGCGGCGGATCTGGACGGTGCAAGGGGTGGCGGCGGATCTGGACGGTGCAAGGGGTGGCGGCTCTGTCAATGGAGCCTAGGGGTGGGCTGGTGGGGTAGGCGGCAGATCTGGGCGGGCATGGCTGTGGAGGAGGGTGGTGGCAGAGAGGGCTGCGTAGGTGGTTGGGGGTTGGGGGTTGGGAGGGGGCTATGGACGTGGCTGAGAACTGGGGAGTCGAGTCGGAGTTGGGCGGTGGTGGTTGGCGGCGGCGCTGGTGGTGGCAGTTAGCCGGCGGTGGTTTTCAGCGGTGGTTTTTGGTGGCAGGTGGTGGTTTCTGGTGGCAGCCAGCGGTGGTTGTTTTAGGATAGGTAATTACAAGTCTGTAAATAGTTGAACTATGTAAGTGTAATTGTAATTGTAACTGGACGGATTGGGTCAGTGTAACCGGACGGATTGGGTCAGTGTAACTGGACGAGTTAGATAACTCTAATTAAACGGATCAGGTAACTATAACTGGACAGATCTGGTAACTGTAATTGGACAAATCAGGCAACTATAACAGGACCAATGAACGTTCGTCATTATCGGATTTTGGTCACTATCGGGATTTGGTCATTATCAAGTTTTGGTCACTATCGTACTTTGGTCATTGTCGGGTTTTGGTCACTATTGGGCTTTGGTCATTATCTAATTTTGGTCACGAATTTTGGTCACTGGTGAATTTTGGATTTTTGGTCACTAATGATTTTTGGTCACTGGACGTTGGTAACTGGACGGACGAACGTTGGTCACTGGTCGAGGTTGATTACTTGACGACATTTTTGGTCACTATTAATTTTGGTCACTAACAGATTTTGAATTTTTGGTCACTAATAATTTTTTGTCACTGGAGGATTTTGGTCACTGACGGATTTTTGGATTTTTTGTCACAAATGATTTTTGGTCACTGGGTGGATTGGTCATGGTCACTAGTCAGATTGGTCACTGGACGGGTTGACGTTGGTAACTAGGTAGAATTTTTGGTCACTAATGATTTTGGTCACTGACGGATTTTTGGATTTTTGGTCACAAATGATTTTTGGTCACTAGATGGATTGGTCATGGTCACTAGTCAGATTGGTCACTGGACGGGTTGACGTTGGTAACTAGGTAGAATTTTTGGTCACTAATGATTTTGGTCACTGACGGATTTTTGGAATTTTTGTCACAAATGATTTTTGGTCACTGGGTAGATTGGTCATGGTCACTAGTCGGATTGGTCACTGGACGGGTTGACGTTGGTAACTAGGTAGATTTTTTTGTCACTAATGATTTTGGTCACTGACGGATTTTTGGATTTTTTGTCACAAATGATTTTTGGTCAGTGACGAATTTTGGTCACGATAATGGTTTTGGTCACTGTGGCGTTATTGTAGACTAATGGGTGAGATTCTATTAAAATAAGGGTATAATAGTCTCTTAACCCATTGTTAGTCTCATTTTTGGAAAATTGAAATAAAGGTCTCTTTTTTGTTCATAGCTCTTTTTTTAGTATTATTTTAGACATAACCCCCTTTTTCTTGGACAACTTTTTGTTGAGAATTGGATATTAGAGCGCATCATTATTGTTAAATAACTAAAGCACTTAATAATTGCCGTAACATTTTTTATATTAAACAAAGTCTGTTCTTAATTGGGCACTACTTGCATACTCCATCATCCATTATTTATTTATTTACATGAGCTTGTTAATACTAGTATAATCAATAAAAAGTGTAACTTTTAATATTAATTTACTCGTTTTAGTAAAAAAGATTTTACTAGCAAAGTTAACATACATGTATTTAATTCAATGTTTAACTCGTATAGCCATTATAAGTTCTCAACTATTATCACATCTAAATTCTTTTTGTGATATTCATAATGTTTCTCTAAATTAAATATGATAATTTTGTTTGTTAATATCAATATATCGGGAGATTCAAAATCAAAACCTGAATGTTGAGGTTCTCTTTCTTGCAAAACCGATGCCTATTTGGCTTCTCTTTGCCTGATCTATAACATACCGACATTCAAACTTGAGTTGTGAGAGTTTTTTTCCGTATTAATGTTAATTAATTAATTATTTACGGAAATAATGCTGGAAAAAAAGTATTTACCAAAATACTGCTGGCCTTAACCGTGGTCAGGACAAAGTCGCCCAACCGTTGGGCGACTTATAAGTCGCCAAACGGTTTGGCGACTTATAAGTCGCCCAACGGTTGGGCGACTTTGTCCTGAAATATGGTTTCAGGCAAGCAGCTACTGCCAGCCACGCACGATCGTGCCTATTTCCTTAGGCACGATCGTGCCTATTACCTAAAACACCAAATCAGCTTGTTTTTCGCCCTGGTTCAATCCAATCCGATCTGTTTGCTACAAATAAGGTCTCCTTTCTCCTTTTGAAGTGTTACAAACTAGATACAACACATGATAATCACCTACTCTCAACAACATAAAAAACACCTTATAAACACCGCTAAAAAACTTTCAAATCATAACCGGTATAACACAGTTCAATCATCATATATGCCATAACAAATAATCATGTAATATTCATACTCGAACACATCAATACAACATAGAATACTTAACAAGAGAAAATACATCAAAACTTGTAAATTGTTCCTACAACATCTATTGCATAAGAAAAACTACAATACAAAAGACAAACTACAAGTTCCCATCAATCAGCTTCGTCATGGAGATGTTGCTGCTCATGTCTACGCCTACGGCGTTGTCGTGGTTGAAGAACCACTCTCTCATGTTGCGTCTGGGATGATGAAGCCGCGGCTGCACTAGACGTGGATGCCATCTCCTGAGATGCGGGCATGTGTATAAGATGTCCGTAGTCTACTCGACCCAACACATCTGAGCATAACGAGGCAATGTCTGTCAGAGTCTGTCCATACATGTCCACATCAGGAATATCAGTCACAGTGGCAGTAGCCCGCTGATGTATGCGCTGCAAAGCTCGTGTCTGCAATACGAAACACAATTACAATTACATTGAAATACATACAAGTATTACATAAATAAAATGACTTACTTTACTAATTAGTAATATACTCACCGTAAGATGCAATGCCAATGAGCTAGGCTGATAATGATGAGTAGGGAGTCTGAACGAAGGAGACACAAACAACCGAGTGATGCTGTAGTACCATCCCATGTAATCTCCTGAAACTGATGGCACATATGTGGGTGTCCTAGCCACGGCTAGCTCAGCTCTCCTATCCCACATAGTCACGTATCGGACATGTCTGAGTGTCCAATCCTCTGTATGCTTCCCACGCCTATCCAGCTTATGCAGCTCTACATAAGTGTCGATAGGACGTGGAATGACCTGCTCAAACCCAAACTGTCGCTTGACTCTATCAGGCAAATGAAGCTCAACAATGTCAAAACATATCAGCGGCACACGTGCTCGCCATATGTGAGTCTGCTCTCGTCCAGCTGGGGGCAACTCTGCTAACATATCAGGTCTATACGGCATCCATGTGATCTGTGTCGTAAACATACAAAATTAGTATTTATTCTACACCTATTGTAGTTATTGTTATACTACACACACCATACCTGGTCCTCTGACATCCGATCCAATGCATCCCTGTACACACCGAGGCCAGTAGCGGATGACATGCGAGATAAACCAGCATATAGCCACCTAACCATTAATGTTACAATATCAATAATATGGATTTTATTAATGCATTTACATTCAATAAAAACTAACACAAATACAAACGATTGAAAACATACTGACGGCCTAGAGGGTCCACGCCCCGTACATGATGTGGTCCTAGCAGACGTGGAGGCTCATCAGGCAGTGGCTGTCCATCAATGCCATGATATCCAACTATAATGGGACGGCCAATGTGGATATACTCCCATGACCAAATCTGGAGGAGTAGCAAAAATCCCCCCAGCTCTGTGCTCCCTCTCTGGCACCCGCGACACAGCTGCCTGTAGAGATAAGCTAGGGTGGCACTACCCCAGCTAAACTGTGCTGCTACATCAAACCTCTCTAGCAAAGGCAGGTGTAGCACCTGAACCTCATTTCCGCTCTTGTCAGCGAAAATGGAGGCTCCCATCATCATCAATATATACGCCCGAGCATGCTGCTGGATGATCATCTCATCAACGTCGGGAGGAAGGGCCTGGAAGTGCTCCCTCAACCATGGCATCCTAAGAGATGACCCCTGAAGGTCAACCCTAAGAACGGGGCGGATGCCTAACAACCTCTCACACTCATCCACCCACTGTCGACAAGCAGTGCCTGTAACAGCTCTCCCATCAACCTATAACCCGGTCAGTACAGCCACATCTCCCAATGTCACAGTGACCTCACCAACAGGGAGGTGAAATGAATGAGTCTCCTGCCTCCAACGCTCAAGTAGAGCAGTGAGGAGGGCTCTATCTAAAGGCACAGTAGCCACTAACCTGTGCAGTGTAAAAAAACCTGCTGCACGAACATATGCTAGGACTCTGGGGTCGACATGTAAATGGGACAAACCCCGCAGATGCTCGCGGCACCTATCAACCTGCACATCCATGCCAAGCCAAACATCCTCACTCCTGTGTGAGGCCTGCAGTGTCAGGACAGAAGGATCACTCGGCCCAGGATCCGCTATCACCTCCATGCCTACAAACAAAATTTGTATTAGTTCTAATTGTATTAGTTGTAATTGTATAATGTGTTACATTTTTTAACTTCCTTTTTTGAATTTATTAATTTTCCTTGCAAGGAAATAATGAATTATGATTGACTCTAAATATACACATACCCGGCGGACCCCCCCTCTTGTCTAGATGATCTCTTTGCACATGTCGCTCTATTATGGCCGGTTTGGTGGCATCTTCCACATCTAACCGTTCCTCGTGGGCCTTCATCCATCTCATTCTTAATACGGGTCGACTTTGGTCTTCCCTTTGCCCGAAGCATGGATGGATCGTGCACGATTTCGGGTCCATTGTAATTGGGCCAATAATCACGATCAGGAATCGGTTTGAACACCCTATGATACGTGGCGGCGTATTGGTCAGAAGAGAAGAACTTATCCACAAATGGAGCATAAGACAAACTACGTTGTCTACACACGGCTAATACATGGTGTGACACCGCGCCCGAACGTCCTTGAAAATTTGATTTAAAAATTCAAAGTTTATGTATTGGATTTCTGTTTCCCAAACAATTGTAAAACGATTAATGTTTTACGTAATTAATGATCGATTAGTGTACTGTTCGAACTCGTATATTAGTGACGGGCATGCAAATACTATTTGGGTCTTATTAATAAATAAAAGAGCCCAACATTATCCAAATTGTGATACATGACCTTTCAAGACAGTCCGAGTAAGGTCGGACGGCCCAAACGTTATTTTGAGTCCAACCTGCTAAAAATAGCAAGTATTCGAGAATGGCGTTCTAGACCCACTCGGGAGTGACCCACATGGCTAGTAGCCCATTAATATGTATGACAAATGTCAAATAAGTGATAGAATGATTAAAGAAGAATACAAATGCCTATAACCCCATCTTTGGCATTATTGAGCTAAATAATGGGAGTAGGATTTTCCTTCTATAATATCCATCAAGTAAATTATTGGGATGATCATACACATAATGGAGATCAATAATATGATGTAGAGAGTTGACTTGTTCTAAATAAATTAGAATGAGTACAAAGAGACATCTTATGACAAAGAGATCAAAAGTGAGACCCACCCATGTCTAAAAACATCTCATGGAGACCATACCAATTCATTTCACTCCACACAACTTATCCACCCTTATTGAAGGGTCTTGGACACTCCCTTAAGCCCCTCATTCGAACTCCCAAGGATAAGGGAGAAGGAGAGAGCCACACAACCAAGAAAGCAAGAGAAAGGGGAAGCTGCCGCAGGTTCGTTTTCCAGTGCGTAAGGTTACTTGTTTGCTTCATATCTCGAGTTATACACATCCAAATAAGGCGTGCGAGATACCCACAGAAAGCTCTCAAGACGAGGAATCCGTGAAGGTCTGGTTTGCATCAATCGGAGTAGTGGAAGGCTTCCAAATCGTCCGAGCAAAACACAACCTCGCGGAATACGTTTTTGTATTCAAGGTAAGTTTGAATCCAAAACTTTCCTCTCTATTGTCTAAACCATATAAATGATTGAAGAACTATTATACACTGATTGAAGTGTATAAAATGTTATTATAAAGTGACTTTAATTGTTGGAAAAGTTAGATACTAATCTAGACAAAACCTTGAAAGGTTAGGGAACGATTTCGTCGGGAACACCCGTTCTAGGGACTGTTTTTGTGTCCTCGGTTAGGAGTTGAACTAGCACTTTGGAGAGGCTGTTTAACACTCAATTCCAAGCAAGGAATCAGTTCTCAATCTTCCTTGGCCAAAGCTTTGACCATGGGATCAAGAAAGAAAGGTTTGAAGCTCAATTAAGGTGAGGATGACCGACTATATTGCTTATAATTATTGGGTTAATTTCATAAGATTACCTAAATGAATTATATGTGTTTGGCATGATTTATTTATAATATAACAAAATGCCTAAATGAGATTATTATTGTTTATAAGTAAAAGTGCATAATATACAAATTTATGAATAAATTGTGTATGATTATGTATTATGAATACAATGGTATAATAGCGTGTAAACTATAAATGAATTGTGATAAATATACTTTTACCTCATGTAAGGAAGTCATGGAAGGATAAAAGTGATATTTTGATATTAGAACCAAGTTATACTTGAATGTGGAATTAAATTGAAATAGCCAAATTACTATGAAATTGCATTGGCTTATTAAGGTTAAATGATTAGTATAGAAATACTAGCCGGGGATGTTAGCGTAAAAAGTGATAGAACAAATCCTAAGGGCTTGGATTGTGAAGGATGCACCTTAAGTAGTCTTATGAGATGTCTTAAGGTAGGAATGGGTAACCGCTAAATTACATTAGGAGTAGGCCTCATAGGCTACTCAAGATAGAGAAAACCTAGGCATAGAATTTGCTTAGTGAGTAGTATCGTGACTAGAGGAAGCCTCTAGCACGATGAGGAATGACTGGAGGAAGCCTCCAGCATTCGTGTAGGACGACTAGAGGAAGCCTCTAGCGTAGCGTAAGATGACTAGAGGAAGCCTCTAGCATAATGTAATGTGACTGGAGGAAGCCTCCAGCACAAAGTATGAAAGGTGATTAGAGGAAGCCTCTAACACCGAATGTAGTGACTAGAGTCAGCCTCTAGCACGACAAAACATGACTAGAGGAAGCCTCTAGCATAATGTAATGTGACTGGAGGAAGCCTCCAGCACAAAGTATGAAAGGTGATTAGAGGAAGCCTCTAACACCGAATGTAGTGACTAGAGTCAGCCTCTAGCACGACAAAACATGACTAGAGGAAGCCTCTAGCATGGTAAACTGATATAGATGGGTGTGGCTTGAAGTCACGGGGGAGGGGTTAAATGTTTTCAAAGTAAACATGAGCCTTCGGCCGACTACTTGACTTTATATATAAAGTAAGTATATTTGTAAAGAGGGTAACCACGAGTTATGACCTATATTGTAATATCACCCTATTTGAGGGTCTTGGAAATTGAAACGTTGATTATACTTAGTATAGTTGTCATTGTACTTGTCAAATGCTTCCAAGTACTGACCTCCCCTTCACGGGGGAGGCCACCTCACAGTTTCAGGTAGGACTTGAAGGTTGCTACCACGCCCGTTGCTTCGGGAAGATCAAAGGAGGAGGACGTGGTTCGTGCTTCTTCCGTTTCTGTTTTAAACAATTACAATAATGCTCATGGAAATTATTTTGAATACTATTTGGGGGCTTGTATGCCCATGTTTGCCACGTGTGGCTTGAATACGTGTATTAATGTTTCCGCTGCTTTAAATGAATATTTTACATTATGTTTGTTTATGGATGTACTATGTGTGAATGGTATTCAAGACGCCTAGTATAGTATGTATGAGTTGGACTGCGGTTGACTATTCGTACTGTACGGCGGGTTGTTGACGTGTCCGGTAGGTCCGGGGCGTGACAATTTAATTGGTATCAGAGCCTTAGTCCATAAACTTCATAATGAAGTCTCAAAATTCTCTTTTCAAAATGTTTTTTTTGAAAACCATGAGCAAAAACGTTTTGTACTTAAGAACTTTTGGTGTTTGAGTTGCAAGGTCTCTAATTGTTAAGATGGCGCCCTTAACGATTGGTATGGCGGTGACTTGGCCCAAGAGATGTCTTAAGTGCCTATCTGTCAGTTGACATTTGAAACGAGTCTAATGACTCATTCTAATTATTTCTTTCAGCGATGGAGGGTGATGGTGGTATTATGAATAGGGAGAACTCGGAAGGGTTTGCACCGGGTGGAACCGGGCATGCCAACCGAGAAAAGCCCTTAGGACCAAAGGTGCACGAAACTCTTGAAGCTCAAATCGTGAGTGGTGGTCATGTTAAGACCAAGGAAGAATCACCTTGTTATGGCAAAACTGAACCACTCAAGGCTTCGGGTGACGAAGGAGATGATTTGAGTGATGAGGACCTTGATGGTGCACCCATTGAACAAATGGGCATGGTCATAGATTGGCTTCAACGTGAACGTGTGAGGCTTATACAAAAACGCCAAGCTAGGCAAGCTGAGGGCATACCATTAGTAAGGAAAAGGAAGCGGGGAGACAACGATTCCCAAAGACATTCGAGGAGGACAAACGTTGAGGGTGACAAAACCTTCAAGGCGCAGACACTATCACTTGAGTGGAGTCGAGGCTTGGGTGGCCCGAACTCGAGGTCAAAAGGTTCGAGGGTACCTAAGTGCAACAATTGCAAGAAACACCACTCGGGTAAGTGTCAGGACCCTCCCAGGTGCTATCAATGCACAGAGGTCGGGCACACGAGAGTGAGTTGCCCACAAATTGTGCAAAACCAAACTTCGGGGTCAAGTGGTGGAACTACAAGAAATGAAAACCAAACCGAGGTTTCTCAAGGGAGCAGGGGACATGGGGGAGCAAGCACGAGCAACGCGCCATCCGTGAACCAAGGAAGGACCCAAGCTAGGGTCTATGCGATGACGGAGGCGGATGCTCAAGCTAACCTGGATTCCGTTGAAGGTAGTACCTCTTGTATACTTGTTTTTTTTATCCTTAATTAGTCCATAAATTGAGGTTGCTAGTCGTTGGGATCGTTGCACGAAGCTTGGGGGTCAAACGGAGCGAAAATCGGGTGAAAGACGGCTGATTTTTTGCCAACGCACACCAGGCTGGACCATACGCACGGCCGTGCGTTGTCCGTGCGTTGGTCCGTGCGTTGGTGGCAGTAGCAACCGGGAAGAAATTGCTATACGCACGGCCGTGCGTTGTCCGTGCGTTGGTCCGTGCGTTGGTGGCAGTAGCAACCGGGAAGAAATTGCTATACGCACGGACGTGCGTTGTCCGTGCGTTGGTCCGTGCGTTGGTGGCAGTAGCTCCGTTTTGAGGTTATAAGACACGCACGCCGTGCGTACCTCCTAGGCACGCCGTGCGTACCTCCTGGGCAGCCCAAAGTCGACTTTTTCGCGCCGTATTGCAACGTTAAGACCCGTTCTTGATCCCAAACATGTGTGTGAACATTGTAACCTTCTATAAATGAGTAGGGAGGGTAGGAGAAATGTCTTACATGGTTCATGAATGTAGGGACACTAAAGATTAATGGGAAGGATGCGCGAATCCTTATCGATACCGGGGCGCAACGTTCATTTGTGAATGAAGCGTTCGCCAAGAGATTGGAAGTGCAATCCGCACTGTTGATGCAAACCTTAGTGGTATCAACACCACTAGGGGATGACGTGGAAAGAACTTGTTACTATCCATCTTGTGGGGTGGAAGTTAAGGGTCAAACCTTGACGTGTGACTTCGTACCGCTGAGCATGATTGAATTCGATGCAATCCTAGGGATGGATTGGCTAGAAAGGAACCATGCTAGGGTAGATTGCTACACGAAGGTTCTTGAACTCGAAGGCAATGATGGGGAGACCCTACGCTTCGAGGGCGATCGAGGGAGATCAAATAGCTGTATCATATCCGCCGTGAGAGCGAGAAGTATGATGAGAAAGGGA